TATAGAGCTGGTCCAGCATTCCACGGCCAGGATAAAAACCACACTGGTCTTCCTGAATCCGAGGTTCGACTATCCGACGGACCCTCCTCTCCACAACCGCTGAATAGACCCTCACAGGGAGGCTTAAGACTTTAGCCCCAGAGATTGGAGAGCCCAAACCCAGATCCCCATCCCCTGCTTCTCCTATAGAAGACATGCCAGTGGGATTGAGATGGTCTTCAAAGTACTCCGCCCACAGACCCAAAACGTCACAAGTTGAGGTCAACAGCACACCATGCTGGATTATGGACCAGAATCGCCTGGAAGCCATACGGAAGTCTTTTTCTGTGGCCTCCCCTTTGACTGCCGATACCCATCAGCGCCCTCTGGAGTCCCACAGGCCAGGAAGGCCCAATAGGAATCCTAGGGGCTACCCTCTCATTCACAGGAGGTGAACCCCAATGTACAGGCACCAAAGTGGGGGGAAACACTCATGCATTTCCCATGCCTCAGGAAATCTAATCTTGGGCAAATTAAGGACAGTAAATAACAGAGAATTAAATAACTGAGAATAAACTAAACATTTCTTCAGCATGAGTATTTCTGGAAGGTTTAGGTTAACATAACATATCTATGGTGGTTTCTGGTTTATCCAAAGCACCCTGTAGCACCCATACACTTAACAGTTTTAGTTTTAATGTCTCCATCTTCAGCAGAAATTAAATGCCCAGATCCTGACTGTGTTTATGCCTCATCTTTGACTGGAAGCATTGGCATGGAAAACTACTGTTAAATAAATTGATAAATAAATGTAAGGACAGAAAACCTACAGTGGGCACACACACACAAACACACAAACTGCTCCCTTCCTCCCTTCTCACTATGTAATTGATGCCAGGCTCATGCCCTTTCGCCTCTGGTGCCAGCAGGCAGAGGGCTACCATCAAGGTGCCTGCTTCACCCCAACATAACAACCTTGCCTCACCTTCACACGTATGCATATACCAGCACATAAATTCACATAAATGCTGTGCCACATGTCATATGGAGCTCTGTTATCTCTGGAACATATTCCTCAAGTATTCCCTCTGAATATATTTGGATGAGTTAAGAAACTAAACAAAGAAAATATCTATATCTAATGATGCAAACAATGATAATAATAATGCTCAAAATCAATTCACAATTTGCATCTTCTACATAGTGACTTCATACTGGCAAACTAGCACTTTCTAAAGTTAAGTCAGACATTGCATACCTATCCCTGGATCCAGACATGTCAGCCTATATCTAAATGACATATCAATCTAATATAATTACTTGTGAGTAGACAATTATAAAACCATTATAAAATAATTTGTATTAGTAAGTATTGCTTATACACATCTCCTTTTCCTCATTTCCTTCAATACTATTGTTTCTGGTCAAATTGTTTTTTTTTTATTCAAATTTGTTAATGTGTAGTATCTAGTGATCAAGATTTAGGTAAATGACTGATTACCAGAATGTAAACTAGTGTTGCAGTAGGCTGGAACCTGAAGTAGACTGCACTATTCCAACTCCAAAGTATCCTGACCACCTTCAAACCTCATAATCTATACAATGAGAAGATTTGGAGTTGACAAAGAGTTATGAACCCCCTGCTAAGAAGAAATTTGAAAAAAATATATAGAAAAACCAAGCGCTCACAAATCAAACGCACACAAATAATCAGCTACTGAACAATTACTAGCAGCCACAAGTCACACATCCTCAGCTATAGAATGTAAGCTTTTCTGCAGGGCAACAGCAGTTGCAATTAATAAAACATTCTATAAAAATGCTCTAAAAGATGAGTCCTGTAGAAGAAAACTTCACAGCTATCACTTAACTACACCAAGCCGCTGCGTACACTTCCCCCCCGTCTCTTCTCCTCCTTCAGTCCCTCCCTCCCCTAGGCTACATTTTCCTCCGCTATTCTCTACATCGTTACCATAATCAGATAAGACAACTACCTAGGGAGCACCAGCATCCCTACAGCACCTTGCTCCTGGCACCGTGCGTATACGTGTGTCAGTTTGTGTGTGTATTGCCCCTGGCATTTGGAAACCCGTATTTCTTTTGACTGTCTTTTTTGCTGTTTTGATCTTTACAAACCGACAGATGACTGCTGAGTGTGTTTGAGGTATGTGTATGTGTGTGTGTGTGTGTGTGTGTGTGTGTGTGTGTGTGTGTACTATATGTGTCTGGAAAAGGTTTCCAAATTACCCTGCTCCTTCTTAGGGTAATGTCTGGATTGTGTTTGACAGACTGCTACAAATTACTGCTGAACTGTGACTGTGTGTATGTGTGACACAGTGAGTGGATAAGTGTGTGCATGCATGAGAACAGGCCTGTGCGTTTGGTGTTTGAGTGTCAAGGATGATTATGTTACTCCTCTGAATGGTCAAAGCAGATCACGTCATTATACTATTAAACAAAAAGGCAGACGTATTCACATGACTTTTGAGGCGCATAAAGTTTAACATCTCCGAGTCCCGTCAGCGTAACACACTTTGCCCAAAAAGCCTCCGTGCCTGACTCTTTTCCATTCCTACATGGGCACATCCAGTTTTATACTGTACATAGACACCTTATGCCTTCAAGGCTTTGCATACTGCATTCACATTAGCTACCGACGGAGCCATCAGCAACGCTGCATTTAGTCAACAACATGTTGGAGTGCCAGATCACTCTACCATCAAGCCATTCAGCACACTGTAATCTAAACTGTCACGTTAAATTTTGTATTCTGCCACAACATTCGTGGAAATTATGCGGGAGATGCTGCGTTCGCAAACAGCAGTGGAGCATTAGCAGAATTGTTATGGAAAGCTTAACCCCTTCACTGTGGTATGTCAACTGTACATATGAACAAATGTGGAATCTGGTCCTTTCTGATAAAGACAAAGACTTCACCTGATGCTTTTTTGTTAATTATTCAATCAACACTATATTGAATTAATCTAAACACACTTTCTGTTTGCAAAAAATAATAAAGTTCAATTTAAATAAAAGAGTTGGTTAATTGACAAACACACATTTTTAGTTTTAAAAGCACATATTATTTTACTATATTGTTATTTACAATAAAAAATGTTTTTAATTTAACAATGTTGCTGCGACTTGTTTTCATAATTTCTATTATTTTAGCGTCAGATTTTTCTTGAACTTAAAATATCTATAAAAATAGAAAAAAAAACAGAGGCTGATGTGTCTGTGGAGGCGGTGGGAAGCACTCAGTCGTCGGTCGGGACTTGATGCATTGACAGGCATTTGCATTTGCTAACTTATATGTTGCCTTCCTAAATAAACCCCAAGTTTGTTTTGAAGATTATCACTAAATTTAATTGAATTTCTCCCCATTGAAATCAATAAAGTCTCTTCGTTAATTCAAATGATGACCTCTAGGCATTGCTACCATCCAACAGTTGGACATAACTGCAATATTAAATACTCACGCTGCTGTCTAATTGTTTAAAGGTTGGAGAGCCCCAGGGCATTTTCACTTTTTCAATGTTTATCAATAGCAATCATAGCAATCATTTAAACTACTTCCTTTTTCATAGCTGTATTTCACCTTACTATGCCTGAGTTTACAAAATTCAAACTCTTCAGAAGATTGGTTGCCAGTGACTACAGTGAAATAGTTGATGTGTTCAGTACTAACTTCATCAAATGTGTCACTAAAGCAAATTCCACAAAATTCTATCAAAATTGTAAGAAACCAATCTAACAATTTGTCTGAATTCTTAATTGTTAATATCAAAGAAAACTTTTAATACATGAAAATGTAAAAGAAAAAACAAAAATAAATAAAGTGTTGTGATGCTTTAGCTCATTTAGTGAAGCAACTTCAGTTACAACACAGATACAGATTGTTAAGGAGACCATTCCTTCTCTGTAGCATCTTTGGTGATATTCATAGATGATGAAAGAGAGAGATTGTCCAGTGAAGTAATGTGTAAAAGGAGACCTTTTAACAGAGACCAGAAAGACACACATGGAGAGTCATTCAGGCCATAACACTCTTTCCACTTCACTGGCTGCCATTTTAGAGTGATCGGAGCTAATGAAAGCCCTTTTCTGTCCATGACTACCTTAAAACATTTTGTAGACAATATGCTACTGATGGAGATGGATAAAAATCTAAGTGAAAACGACAAAAGAAATAGACATATACAAAACAAATCCTTTTGACCGGAGCGTTCAATGAAGGCTTTATTGAAAAAGTCAATCTTATTATGTATTATTTGCTAAATGTTTTTCTACATGTAACTAAAATGGCCTCACTGAATGGAACAGAAGCAGAAATCATGTCAAACATTTGGATTTTCCAAGGACTTTTCCTAAGAATTCCTCATCAAAATAAAATCTTTAATCATCTGAATGCAGCAAACCTCAAAATAATATGACACTGTGAGAGCTAAAAACAGAAACCATCCGTACCCTCTCCCTGAGATGACAGCAACAATGGTGTGTGCACGATCCCAGTGGTATTTGGTTACCTATGAATGTGAAAAACCCTTCATCTAAATTTATGTTTGGTCAGAGCCATTCAGATTTAGACGTATATAAAAGCACAAGATCGTTTTTGTTCTGTTGTGTGTGTGTTTTTTGCTTTGCATGTTCCTGCCTAAGGTTAGTTAAAACACTCATTTCTCTTTTGTTTCCATAAAAAAAGATGAAATAACCAAGCCTAAAGTAAGTCAAAACAACTAATAAACTCCAACCGTTTCCAGTTCCCTCAAGGACATACAAACATTCAAATTAAAATGAAAAGAGAGGTAGTATCTCTTTTGTTTGTGGGGGGAAAAATTGTCCTGTATGCCCCCAGCCCCAGCAACTGCTCTAAAACAGATAGTTTTTTTTTGCCATAGAATTACTGCTAACTCACACAGGGGCTGAGCCCGCAACAGCAGTTAAGTGTGATGATGGACTGATGAAACTTTAAGAGCACATAAAACCTACGGCACAATCAAACAACTAAGATTTGTTTTTACCTGCAAAGTAAGATGTGTCCATGTCTCCAGTTGCAGTCTGCCTTCAGTTTTGAAGTTGACGGTCAAAGCTGTGTCACTGTTGGACTGACCGTACCTCATGGTTACGGCCTGTTCAGACACTGTCAGAGAAAAAACCAATTGCTTCCCTGCACTCTTCTCCAGCAGCATCCTGCAAAAAAAATTACAGAAATAAATTAACATGCAGGCAAACAAAAAGAGCAATGTAAAACAAATATTTGACAAACAGCTGTGAGAACCAAGTGGATATTTGGTATGGGCCAGTTCATGTGATTTAAGTCAGAAAACTATCGCAACAATAGAGACTGGACCAGTGGAACAGAGTCCGACGCACCCTGTCATTCTGGCATTTTCACATGGAATATCAATATTTTACATCTCTGCAAGGGTTCAGCGGTTTCACAGTGTGGTGACATGCAAAACCGCCACGTGTCATATTAACCACCATCACTGACATTTTATGGGAAAATGTGGCTTTTATGAACCTAGAGTCGTACACCCAATAAATCACACCGTATAAATGAGAAAAAAAAACTTTTAAATGCACAGTGCCAGTGAACGAGCGGACATGGTAATGTATACCTGACGAGACATTGACAATGAAAGACAGGCTGGAAAAAAAAAGAATAATAAAAAAATCCAGAGTTATTCACAGAGCCAAAATTAAAGCAGTATTATTATTCTTACTATCATAATTAAAAAATTAAACCTGCTGAAATTGTTCATGTAAACATCAATGTTCGATTATTTATACTTCAGTAAATTGACATAGGGCATAAATAAGACATAAAACTATCCCTCATTATCAGAAAATTCTACAATTCCATTTCTTTTTTGTGTTTTCTGACATATCAGTCTACCTATTAATGTCCCCAAACAATGAATATTGTTTATTACAGTGTCAAACTTGACATAAATCTAAAATCCTATTTTGTCAACAATTATGTTCAGTCTCAGTTCATGTGCAGTTCTGTAACAGAGATAAAAAGTATTACCATCTCTATGGATTAGAAGAACAGGAAACATAAATATGATTAAAGAAAGATTTAAAACAGGGTGAGGGGAATCATAAAAAAGGCCTAATTTTTCTCAACAATAATGCTGCACATGTAAAAATTCAAATGAGATTCCACAAGGAGCAAGAACAGGACTTAATAATCAGTCCCTGGGAATGAAGTCATGGTGTAATAAAATTATGGTGTGCAGGTGGCTGGCTCTGTTCATTGTTCAACTGAGGGAAGGGATGTGAAGTCACATGGAGACAAAGAGACAAAGAAAATGGGGGTGAGGAGAGATGGACAGAGGTGAGGACAGAGACCTCCTTTCATCTGGCTTCTTTGATGGCAGCTACGATCATCTGTACAACAAAAAGAAAGATAGCCAATGACAGCAAGCGAACGAGAGGCAGGGAGAATGAGTGAGAGGGGGGAGATATGACTTCCATTCAGATGCATTGAGCCATACAGGTGTCATGTTCGGAAGGCCAAAACAACAACCCCTGTCCGTCATCTGAATCCGCGGGTATACAACTTCACAAACAAAATCACAGCATGGACTCTGAAAGTGAGATTTGATCTCTGTCTGTTAAGTTTAATAGGGAATGGGAAGAGAAGCCAAACATCAACATTTAACTTAGCGTCCAGTTATGTACCACACCATACATGCAGGCCCTGCGATGGACTGGCGGACGGTCCAGGGTGTACCCTGCCTCTCGCCCACTGGGATAGGCTCCAGCCCCCTTGCGACCCCGTTGGGAATAAGCAGTCTAGAAAATGGATGGATGGACTATACAGGCAACAAATATAAAAACAAGCTTTGAAGCAGGAATTCTATTTATAGTAAAAGTACAACTAGATCATTTCAATAATCTGTCAGCCATGCTGATTTCCAAATCCTGAAAAAGTTGTTTATGGCCTTTTTGTGGCTTCGTTCTGACTGAAGCCGCAACCTAATGGGATTGGAAAATGAGTGTGTTTCCATATCTCTGCAAATCAATCCATGGAAATTGTGGGGGGGGGGGGTCTAATCCATAAATCGTGATTTCCCACTTCAACGATTAAAATTTCACCTTTGAACTTACACCGCTCAACTGAAGAGACCAAATTGACCACAAGCTGAGATAATTCCACCCAAAAAAGATTTCCAACCAATATTTTAAAAAATGGTGCAGTTTCATGACAAAGCAACCCATTCATGTCAAGCAATCTACTGTAAGTATGGCTGTTTGGAAGAAAAGTAAACGGATCTCTTTTTGTTTGTGCATTTACTTGTCTGTGTGTGTGTGTGTGTGTGTGTGCGTGTGTGTGTGTGTATGTGTGTAACTGCAAGCCGATCTGAGTGCTTGTAACTGTGCACCTTTCTAGCCTTGCCTGGAACATACTAGCACACCCTCTTCCCTTTTCTCTGACACACATGTTTAAGTAGGACATGACAGCTCGTTGTTTCCCAGATAGTGACACTGACCTGACCAGACCCGACATGATCCTTGTTATTAGATCAATAATGTGGGGTTTTCATTATCTTGTCAATATGTGAAAATTATATTCAATGTCATATCAGAAAATATATTTGACAAAACATCACACCAACAGTATTTCTAGAGGGATGTAGTGTATCAGTAACACAAAATAATACACTTAAGCAGTGAAACACAAATATACATAGACGTGTGTATAGATATCGATAATGCTTATAAAAAAATATGCCTGTTTGGTTTGGTTCCTATGGTTCATGAGGACAGCACTTCATCCTCTCTCCTCTTCTACCATTAGTTCCTCATAATCAGGGTTTTGTATGCAAACCTCTGTGCACCATTCCAGACTTGGGATTCTTTATCTCTGAAACTGAAACCATCACTAACCTCTGCTTATCTTTTTCTTTTCTACTGGCCATCTATCTATTGCAAATGACTGGCTTTAGTGACTTTGATGACGTGAGATTACCTTTTTTTCCCCAAAACTACCTGTCTATCATTTAGGAAACACAGCTGTGTTTCCTTCAGAAATTTCAGATGTTAAAACAATTCTTAACAAATCTTTCCGAAGAAGTAGTGATTTTATTCACCACCAGCACCACAACACAGTGAAGAAAGAGAAGTTCAGCCAGATCAGACGATGGGACTATAGGCCACCATGTGGTGAGCTCACATCTGCCAAAACACCCACACTTCAGGGACTACACCCAGAGTCAACTGTATACAAAAGCTATGCATATATGGAGTGAAGGAACGCTGTGAAAATAACATGTCCATTTATTTATATAGTATTGATTTTTGTAATACACAGTATACTGGTGATGATGACTATCAAATCAGTCTTAAATGACTGGCAGCTTGTACTTAAACAGAAATCACATATCCAACTTTGCAGCTGAGAAATTTCTCTCAGGATCTACTGAAACAGTAAATCATAAACTCACATCTCTCCAGTGGAGCTTGGTTTAATCCACAATGCCAAGGTTAGAGAACCCAGTGCCCCCAGTGCCTGTGAAGGGGGAGACACCAGACATCCATCCTGGCCTGGCTGAAACAGCACACTACCAGATCCAGCAGAAATCCCATCTGAGCCTGTCGAGGTTCCAGTATCTGTCCGAGTCCAAGGGCGAGTTTCATGAATGTCTTCAGTTACACAGGTACCCCTGGCAGAATTACATTTAAACATTTCAACAGCAAAACCTTAGAATTAGACATAAAACATCATCACTGGCATGTTTCACAACATTTGATTTCCACTGCGCACACTTAAAAAAATAAGGTCTTTTTTTTTTTGGTTCACCTTACTTTTAAAGAACATTCAACTTCATCTACTCCAGTTACCTGTGTGCAGCTAATAGCAGGGGGGCATATGGAGGTGTAGAGGATCTATAAGGACACTCCTGGTCACAAAAGGCTTGAAAACATGTCAGTAGCTCAGCCTGTGAGGAAGGTGACTGGCAGTAACTGCTCCGCTCTGGAACGCCACAGGTGGAGCGAGGCGGATGGGTGGACACACGTTTGAAAGCAGCAATATTCTCCATTTGTGGAAAATGCCCCTGTGAGAGATTTGACATATTGAATAATCTATTTATTTTATTTATGACAACAGCAACTGCATACAGATTCATAGAAAAGTTACCTTCAGGATGATTAGCGAGAATTACATTAACAAGAACTATTAAACTAAATGACTTATGAGTTTTTTTTCATTGTTTTTAGTCTTATTTAAGCTGTAGCATTTTCATAAAAAAAAAAAAAAAAACTTTATTCACCTCCTATTTTATGGTGAGGATAATTTAGGATTCAGTTCATTGTGAGCATTATTTACAATTTTCTTGAAAGACACTCTTACCTGTGAGGAGGTCGGTTTTGGACAGAGGGTGAGGAAGAGGAGAGGTAACCAGAAGAAGACATCCTGCCACCTAAGCCCAATGACATTAACTTGCTTCTTTGTCCCTTGTTTATTCATGTTTTTCCAGGGTAGCAGCCACGGAAAGCCAAGCCAGACCTTCTTTTCCTTCATTCTGTTCTCTCTCTGTATGATTTCCCCTTCGGTTTTTATCACAGTCAATGTCCCAGTTACGTGTGTCTCAGTCATTTTCAGTTTTATTCTATTTTCCTGGCATTCCTTTTCATCTTCTCTAGGTTCTTCTCTGTTCCTGTTGACTCCACGGCCCAATGTCAGCCATGTCCTCTGAACATTTCGCTGCTTCTTTCCCTCCCGCTCTTTAGTCTGTCTCAGGCGTTTGACCCCACAACGATCTTGAATCTCTGAGGGGTCCTGCATGGTTCCAGGTTCAAGAATCTCACACAGATGTAGTGGAACATTCCCGCAGGCAGAGGGATGCTCAGGAACCTGGATTTTGTTCTGAAGCCTCCCAGCAACGTTTGAATAAGTGATGACTGTCATGGTTCCATGGTTCCAGGGTTACAGGGACATTTTTTACAGGCCAGTGCCCCTAGGGTGAAGCCACCAAGCTTAGCTCTCAGTTACACTGTCTCTGTCCCTCAAACACACACACAGACCAGTACACACATACAAACCACAACCAAAGCCTTCACATGATAGGTAGGATTTCACAATCTAGAGAAGGCAAAAGAGAGAAGGAAAAGAGAGAAGTGGTCACACACCAAAATCCAACATGAGACAAATCTGAGGAGAGTGAAATGCCATGCAGGCTATTCCCTTGCCAAAGCCTACACTATCATGTACAGCTTGATGGAGGCACAGCTCAACTGATACTGCGACATTGCTTTCCCTTTTTCTTCATCTTCCATTGAATTAAACATGCCCTTTTTCCTCTGGCATCTGGTCTCCAGGTTTTACCCAACTAAATGGGTTCTCACTAAGTTTGTTGGAAATTGAGGCTTAGGCCAAAGCTCTCTTCATTACAATACTTTGCAGCTTCAATTTCCCATTTTGACACACAAAAAGGGGCCAGCAATGCAGTCATCTCAAGTGTTAGATTACACGGTAGAGGCTCCTGCCTGTAATGTCCGTTAGAAAATAGAAAAGCTTCCAGTGCATTTAAAAACAGATCCAGTTCCTCGTGCCGTGAAAATTTGTAAATCTATGCAGATACTCTAACATCCTAAAAATATGGAGCCGCTCATCAATGTTTACCTGGCGCTGTGGACTTCCTGCACAAAGCTCAAGCCCCCATCACAAGTGCAGCGTCGACAAAACAACTTGTTGCTCTGGCGTGAGTCACAAAAAAAAGCTAAAAGCTCCTCGCGCACACCTGTCAGTCAGCTACAACAGTCACGGTTCCAGAAAAAAATAGTCCTTTCAGACATGACTTGAATCACTGTGCCCGACATCGTCGCCCACACTTTGACGGCAAAACTGAATGACAGCACAACTGAACTTGACAAAGCTGCTCTTTTTTTCCCCTCTCTGTCTTACCTCTTTCATTCAGTGCATGCGGCGCACGGTGCTAAGAAGATTACCGCTAGCTGCCATCTGGCCAGCAGCGCTGGAGGCGGCAGGATACTGTGAACAAAGTAACGGTGATGCAACGTTACACGGTTTTGAACAGAGTAACGAAAACTTGAGAGCCCCGGAGCCGGAGGCAGCAACTAAAACTAAATTGTGAAACTAAATTGTGTTTTTATTAAAGGCTGTCTTAGTCTCTTGCGTCGAAGCATTAATGAGCGATTTAAATAATTACCCCCTGCCTATAAATAATGCTGTACCCCCCACCTGCTTGGGATGCGTCTGGGTTTCAGAGACAAGTGGCTCTTGTAGGAGCAAAGAGGCACGCTACTTCCGTCTCCTGGCAACGGTGATCAGTGGCGGCCACTGAAGGAGCTTGCGAAGAAATCATTTCAAGATTGATCTCACCTCTCACAATTTAATCAGGTTTTGCATTCATGATGTGATGGTGTGTGTGATAAGGCACAGCATCTGATCCAAAATTAAGAGTAGAGATAAGAGTGGTATGGGGCATTTGATTATTTAATTAATTCCATAAGAGCATGTTAGGATAAGCACATAATCCAACCATTATGCTTTAAACAACTAAGGATTATTCATAAATCTGTGATAGAAGAATGGAAACATTGTGCAGGTTAGTTGTGTTTAGTGTGACTTGGAAAAGGCTCAAAATGTGACAAGAACCAAAGGAAACTTTGACAGAAAAATGAAAAAAGTCTTCTGCATATTTTGCAAAAAGAAAAAAAAAGCATTTAGCACAGACATGCCCTTATTGTGCATGTCTAATATCTCAAATGCCAAATTTAAAACAAAGAATGGGGCTTAGACATGGGATTTTAAATCACCTGTTCAACTATTAGAATTTATTGATGGCCCAATTAGCTTGCAAGTCATTAAGTTGAATATCAGTTCAGATCAATTACAACAATTCGAGATTGTTTTCTATCTAATTGGTAATTAAATGCCCATAAACAAATTTCCTTCAAGGGTGTGGGGTCACATTTGATGACATGGAAAACCAAAGCAAAAGCACAGACAAATGGAAAAATAAAAACACCATCAAATAGTAAGATCGTTAGCCTCAAGGATGACATAAATTTACAGCAGACTTTTAAAACTTCTACCAAGTCAGGGAGCTTCAACAAGATCCCCATCACAGTTTTGGTGTGTCTTTGTGACATGTATGTTAACTTTTCATTTGGTTACAAAAAAAATCAGATTTAAGTGCTTTTTTCAGGCTTCTTGGCAAGAAAAGACTTAAAACATTTTTTCACATAGTTTCCATTTACTGAAAGTGAAGCTGTGCGGTCCTGAATAACACATTGATCATTAAGATTGACTTTTATAGCCCAAGAGGTAATTCCCAATTTTGTCATTTTGTCACGTCCCAAAGTGTCACAAAGACTCTGACTCTCAAAGGTTTTTGAAGATTTTGCTTAGTTTAAAAGAGTCATCACAATGTTGTGTCATTGGCTAAGTACTCACTGAAATGCCCCATCTTGCAATACAGATTGATTTGATCTGTTATTTGTTTACTGGCACAACTTCAGTTGCTGGGTCTGTATCAATGTGTCTGATAAGATTAAATTGGGCTTCAGTTTAAATCAGCTTTGAAGTCCAAATTACAAATCAATAGGACAATGTTAGCGAAATAACCAAATGATGTATTTCTTGTTTTCTGTTAATGGTTCAATTAAATGATTGACTTCTTATTTATGAAAAAAGTCTATATTTCTAGGGTTTCAGTTTGTGTTTCTCATTTCTATTAAATACTTACATGCTGAGGTTGAATACAAACTATGTCTACAGATGAGGCTTGTACAACAAAAATTCATAATAATATTTTTGTACTTTTGTTTTTAGGCTCAAATGCATAAATCCTCTGTTCAATCCACTAACAAACTACAAACAATTCCCTTAAAAGGCAAAACCATGCCAAAATGCTTTTTCAAGCATGCAGACATGCAGACTTCCACTGTGTGCTCAAGCGCTCTGCATTTGAATTGTGTAAACATTTCCACCAAAAAGAGACCCTGTCTTATATTTTTCCCTGCCGACAAGTTTTCCACGTTATCATACTAATCGCGTTTGAACAGCTGCAATTTGCTTTGGACGAACAAAGGCATTTTAACTAGGTTTTAATTAAGTGTTCCTAATGACCTTAAGGAGATTAGAGGTTCGCCTTCTAATCAATACCAGGCAGAGAGGAGCAAAGGGAGGGGAGAGGAAGAGAGGGGAGGTGGCTAGGGGCTACGATAGAAGTAGGGAGGAAAGAGGTGGGAAAGGAAGGTGGTTGGAGGAGCATATAAAAACTAAATGCTGAGAAAAGGAAGGAAAAGGCAAAAGTGGAGGAGGGTAAAATATCTACATCATTGGTTATTTGAAAAAGTCTGACAAAGCTCTGGTTTATATTCCAAGAGAGGCTTTTATTAATTTGCAGCTAAAGTGAAACGATTGCTTTTTGTAATAATTGCAGAGTTATGACTTGGTTTGGTTTCCTTTGGTTGCCTAAAAGCAGCTGATGGAGGTTTGAAGAAATCAAAACCAAGTCCATGTAAGAAACAAAGATCTTTGGATCACCATTCAAACAAACATTAAAAGAGAAATAGTCACTTACTCTAACATTTTTAAACCTTCTGCATACCCTTTCACAAGTTTTTCTCTTTATAGTTTCTTTTTTTTCTACAAGTCGGTGAAAAGGATCACCAGTGGCATCAGATAGGCTGTGATCATTAGGAGCTTTGTTAGCTAAGAAGGGTTTCTCTTATCCTCTTTTCATAAGACATTTGCATAGGTTTGGACACAGTGTGCCCACATGACACACAACAATCTACTCATACATTGATTGTTCTGATTTATTCAGCTGGGCGCATTCAGCTCCAGAGATTGAAGTGCCATCACGCAAACGGGATTAAAACTGAATGCCGATTTTACAATTAATAATGCTTCATCTTTGAAATGACTTGTGTATGATTTGTATTTCCCTAAAATGTGTTTGCTGCTTTAATAACATTAAGGCTAATATGGTAAATGCACGCTGTAACTGTATTGTGTCTCTGAGAATTCAGAACGGCATGAATATTTATGGAGACATCCTTGGCCTTGCTGCTGATTAGGGAAAGTGGAATAAATTGGTGGCTGGACTGGTTTTAAGCACAAACACATGCATGAACACTTACATTCACATTTTTAACTCCATATTAACAAATGGAGGTGAGAAAATGATCACACGAACCGTGACATGTAATAGGTTTAAAATGCTTTTTCAAACATATAAATGATCTGTTTAGCTTTAAATGTGCCTCAACCACCGGTGTAGTATGCATCCCTGAGGTTGGAGGTTATAGTGAATAATGGCACCAGGCCGTTACTGTTTGTTAGCAGGACACAAACAAATGAGATACACTTTAGAAAATGTAAGTGTTCTTTCTCTGCAGTGGCTTTTGACTGCAAATAGTTTGTGGTGCTGATGTAAGGTATATTTTTGGGTTATCCACTCTATTTTCATATCCACACATCAACTCTTCACTGGCACCACTCTTTCTTTCTTTCATTTACCCATTTCCCATTTCTGTGACCTAAACTGTCTTGCTTCCCTCCATCTCTGCTTCTCTGTCATCTTCTTTCTTGTCCTTGTTTTATGGTGCATTTTCTATAAATAGGTATATATTCTCTGTATATTTTAATCCGTGTTCATCATTTATTCCCCTCCTCTCCAAATCAAATGCCCCAGAACCTAGATATAAAAACAATTTGGCTTTTCCTTTCCTTCTCAGATTTTATACCCTCAAGTCACACTGTCCATATTTTGTGTGTATATGAGTGTGTGTTTGTCTGTGTGGACCCGCTTTCTGCCCCCTATTGGGGTTAAGGCCAGTGACACCCCGAGGGCTGTGCTGTCCAATCCCCACCACGCTGCGTTTCTATAGGATTGAATTAACCTCCTGCCTCTCTTGACAATGCACATACACATATCATCATCCAGTCTCACTTACAGAAACACACACATACTTTGTCTATGCCAATCACCTTTCGCCTGCCAAGCCTGTTTTACTAGCTTGGGGCACTTCGGAAACTATCACTCCTAAAACTCAAAGGTAATAAGCCTACTAAACACACACAAAATTTGGATTTATATTGTACAGTAAATCAGAGGAGGAATTGTACATCAGTCAGCTGGATGCGGTAGAATAGGCTGAAATTATTTCGATTACACACACACATACATTACCTTCTGTGTGGTTTTTGGT